CAGGCGCCCCCAAAACGAGGAGCTGCCCGAGCAGCCTCGTGTCCGCGCGCAGGATGGGAAAGCAGGGCCGCCCTCACAGCCACGCTGCACTTCCACCCGGCCTGCTGCTTGCTCCTAGTCCCATGCCAGGGGAAAGAGCCACGGGATGAGGACAGGTGGGAGCGCGAGGGGCTGTCTCCACGCCCGGGGCACCCCTGTGGTAGCACCCCGACACGCGGCACCGGCCCCTCGCCCTGACGGGGGGCAGAGCAGCCCCGGTGCTGAGCGCAGACCCCTGCCACGAGCGGCCCAGGGCAGTGCCAGGCTCGCGGGGGCTCCCTGAGCCTCCATCCCTACGAGCAGCCCTCTCCTCCACACGAGGGACAGCTCCCCGGGGGAACAGCTACACCACCCGAAACCAGCCAGAAACAGGAGCCAGCAAAGCCACCCGAGTGGCCGCTGCCCAAGAGGAACCAGCACCCAGAGCAGAACCAACCACCAGCCCAGGCAAAACGGATGTGAAACAGGCAGGAGCCGACCAGGACAGTGACCCTGTCCCACCAAGGACACATGCCCGCCACCAAGGCGGCGCCTTGGCTGCTCCGCTGGTCACAGAGGTGCCACTTCCCACCCTGGTGCTGGAGATGTGAGTGCTGCCCGTACAGCATCGTGATGAAAGGGCCAGACGGGCAGCCAGAAATAAAACTAAGCCGGGGGTAAGGACTGATCAGGATAGAAGCTGAGAACTCTTGGAAATGTCTCATCTTGGAAAGAAAAAAAGCCCCAGCTGGATGTGAAGACGGTCCCGAGCCAGCCCTGCTGAACAACCTCCGGCCTGAGACGGGGAAAAGGAAGCGGGACAACTCCCACAACGTCCCCTTCCTCAAGGAGAGAGTGGCCCCCTGCTCCCGAGAAGGACCATGGCCCTGGGTACTCAATGATGGGGGTTTCTAAGACCTGGGGGGTTTCTAAGACCTGGGGGAAGCAGACAGACCACTGGGGCCAGAAGGGAGTCACATTGCTCACCTGAAAGACCACGAGCCCTGAAGGCACACGCTGCTTGTGGCATTGCCAGCCTCCCTCTTGGGCACAGGCCTGTCCCCACATGCTCAATTCCCTCTTACCAGTAGGGAATGACGCTTGTTTGCACAACGTCTTCCATGGAAGAGAACGGTAGGCAGCAAGGTGGGAATGAAGGTTAGAAACCCCCTAGGTTCAGTCTGCAGAGGGGACCTTGCTCTCCTGTTTTGCTGGTGATAATTACTGCTCGTCTGTGGAAACAGTGACGCGCTGTCCGTGCTCCCCGTTGCTGACACGGATTGTGTAAAGAAACAGAGGTTAAAACTTGCTCTGAGCTTCACGGCTAATGCTCCCACCAGAATTTCTCTGCTGTTGCAAAGGGGTCCTGCTCCATGCAGAGACAGAGAAATGCAACAACCCTGTCCCTAACCAACAGGCTCAGTGGAAATGGGAAAGCTCCTGGAGCCAGAAAGCTTCATTCTGGTTTCAGCTTTCCAAAGTACTTTTTGGGTGGCCATACCAAACTCCTGATCGCTCTGCTACGTTGACCTCTCCCAAGAGAGGCTGGGAGGCTTACTTCTTTAATGATTATAAAGCGTTCAGACATCTGGAGAGAAGCATTATTTAATTACTGCAGTGCCCGGGGAGAGCCTCTCTTCCCTAATCTTCGCAGCCTCCGGAGCAATGCCGGGGCGGGAATGCGCGCGGCGCGAGCGCACGCGGAAGTGTCTACTGCAGAGCGCCGGCAGCAGGGCAAGAGCGACTGTGGGAACCGTAACTCAGCATTTCCTGACAGGGGTGATTAAAATCTCAAACTCAGTGTAATATTAACACTTTCTCAAGAGATTGACAGCACGCTTGCCCTGTTTACTTTACCAATTCACAGCCTGCACAGTAAGCTGCATACAGTACTATCAGATTTAAGATCAATACAGAGCCAAGGCAAACGAAACCACTGGCAGAGAAGAAATAGGAGCCAGCTCTTCAGCTCCCTTTGCCATCCCAGGGCCTTTTTGAAGAAAAGAAAGAGCTGCTCATTGATTCCTTTTTTTTGAGGGGATGAGAAATTCTTACTGGAATCTTACCCAAAGCCACCTAATGTTTTCAGGTAACCAGGGCAGCCTGGACTTTCACATCATCACACGCCTGGAAACAGTCAACGGACAGGAGACCGCAGAGCACAGCTACAAGAACTCACAGAATGAAACCCCCAAAGGCGCCAGGCATAACGGACACGGCCCTAAAAGGGCAAGCTGCAACCCAAATACTTCTGCGGACTGTTTTGAAATAGTCCCAGTGAAAGAGGATGCCCTCCATGCCAGCAGTGCCAAATCTCATCACTGAGAAAGGGGCCAAACGCAGAGGCACGCTCCTTGGTGTGGACTGATGGTGCATTCCTGAAATTCTGTGTCTTCCTAGAAAACAGGATGTAGAAAACAGTGGAAGAAGCAGCTATGCCAAAACTCAACCTGAACGTACAGTGCAGAGGCAAACTACCAGCGCCACGTGTCACCTCTGCTCGTCACAGCAACACCTAGAGCAGGCAGCGGCTCCTGCAGCCTCCCCACCACACTAGCTGCATGCAACTGCTGCCTGACCTGGAAAGAAAGTAATGAGCTCTGCATTATAGTCAGCACAAAGAAAGGAAGTGCAAATGAGTGCTGAACAGGCACACGTTTGCACGCTGCAGACTGCGGATCTGCGGATCCCGGGAGGGTCGTGTTCAGGCAGGGTCGCCCTGCCGAGCAGGCACCACGCGGCACGGGCAGCTAAACACCTTGGCCGTGGAGGGACTGACCACCTGGAGCAGAAATCCTCCCAAGCCAGCTCCACGCTGCCTACCAAACAGCCAGTTCACCCCCAGGACAAAATCATTCATCACTTTGGCTTGGGCTGGACCTGGAGCAGCAGCTTCTGTACGAACGGTTTGAGGGGCGCCCTCCTACATCTCTGCCCTGTTCACGTCCCGAGCTGTTCGGCTCTATACAGGTGTTACAACTGCTTGTGAAAGCAGGTGCGTTCCCCTTCCACCCCGTTAAATTCCCTTCTCTGGCCCTGAACCAGCAGTTACCATAAAGCCCCACGCCCAAGAAGCTTCCCGTAGAGCCGTCGGTATAACCGGGCGAGCACCATTTGTCTCGGTCTTTTTCCCGAGCTAAAGCTGACCAGGAGGGAACCAGGGAGCCAACGAAACAGTTTAGACTCAGTTCCTTAAAACGACACGTCACGAGGGGAACACATCCCCCAGGAGCAGGGCTGCTCCCTTCCATCCTACCTGTGCGGGGCTGCGGTGCTGCCAGGATGAGCACCAGGCCGGCGGGCTGCGCGGGCGCAGGCAGGGCCCTTCGGAGGGCAAACAGTGCCACACAGCGGCAGCACCCCGGCGGCTCGGCTCCCTGCGAGCTCCAGGCGAGGTGAGGAAGAGCTCTTGCCGTTTCAGGCCGCAGCTCAGAAACCTGCCCAGCGACACAGGCTTCCAGTTTCTTTTTCGCCTGGTTATTTTTACTCTCGAGCAGTTGGGCGACGCGGTCGCGCTGCAGCCCCGCGAGCAGCTGCGCTAACGCAGGGAGGGCAGCATGCTGCAGCGCGCAGGCAACTCCAGGAGAAACACCCTGGCTGCCAAAATCAGCACCCAAACCCGCTCCCTCCATCCCTTTTGCTGCTCCATTTATGAGCATGTCGGTCTGAGAGCAGAAAGGTTTCTACAGAGCAGCTTTTTAAAGAGATGAGGAATCCCAGACTAAGGGTACAAGTCTGAGAGCAGAGCCCTTCCACGAGCAGAGCAGGGCAAGCTCTAGCAAACATCACTGCACTGTGAACAACAAGCTACTACTGCCTCCAGCTTTGCCAGCAGCTACACCACCTCATGCTGGAGGGCTGCAGAGGTGCCTCAAGACTCCCGGTGCCTCCAAACAGCAGCATCTTATGTCAAACCATCTTCATCAATGATTTACAGAGGCTACAGCTTGGTACACGCTCCTTCCAGTGCTGCTGAGGAAGCAAAGGTCTCCCAGAAGAGAAGCTGAGCAGAAGGAAAACAATCAAGGGCAGTAACATCTCAAAAATGCTACAGCGGTGACGTGCCAGAGCTTAACTTCCAAAACGTTAAGACTTCAGCCCAGTTCCACCCAGCTGAAGTCACAAGCTAGTTACAAAAATGCAGTAATCTCCAAGAAGCTCTGGGCCCCGCAGCACGCACGGAAGGTCTTCCCAGTTCTGCTAAACTTACATCCCTAACAGCCATTTTAGGACAGGCAGCCCAGAGCTCCCTGGCAAGTTCCCTTGCAGGCTGCGTGTGCCAAAACAGGGCGAGGATTCCTGGAGGATGAGCTCCCAACCATGGGCTGCCTTCGCCTGCATTCCCACATGTTCCTCACAAACAGAGTTCACTTGGGCTCCTCTTGCAAGGTACACAGCTTCGACAGACATGAGAGCTGCTGTCAGTCTTTTTTTTTTTTTTCCCCCCTGCAGATGAAAGGAAGTAGTTTGGAAAGCTTTTTTTCCCTTGCAGTCTAAAAGGAAATACCAACAAGGCAAACACTAACACCTACACTGGAAATTAAAACTATCGTTTTCATGTTCCCAGCACAAATCTCCAATCATCTGGCATCGGCACAAGTGACCCACTTCCAGAACAAGCCTCAGAGCTCCCAGAATCGCTGTGAACTCTGCTCTTCAGCACCTGACCTCACTTCCCACCAGCAACCTCACCCACATTAGAGCCTTCAGCCACGCATTTCACTGCATCTTCTGTTTGTGCCTTTCCTATTCCGTATCAGCCACGCCAGCATGCGCTGCCAAGAAACGGATGGTAATAACATGCTTTAAACATGAGAGGCACAAGGTCACCAGCTCTTCAGCCTGACCCAGGCACAGCTCCCATAGGAGAAGCCAAAACACTGGAAAATTTAGCAACAGGAAAGCAAAACAGATCCAGTGTCATTCAACTGCATTCCAAACACATGACACCAAAGGCAACCGCCGCGTCCTGCAGTACTCACGTCGCTGGGGCTGAGGTTCCCAAGACCGTTGTCCTGCTCAGAATCCCGGCCGGACTCGTGGCCCTGGGAGGAGCGGGGGTGGGAGGGATGAATCCAGATCTCCAGCCGCGTGGCATCATCTCCGACTTGTCGGAACGTGGACTTCTTGCCCTTTCCCCGGCAGCTGGGGCTCAGCTCCAGCACCTGATGCTTCTTCTGCTCCAGCTGCTCAGCCTGTGCAACAGGGCAGATTCAGAGCCCCACCAGGGGATTAATATTCAGGAAGAATGAGTTGTTGCATTTACAAAGAGTCTTCCTCCAGCTTACAAACTACAGTAACCCACTGCAAGGTCTCCAATTTGGCTTCTGACACTATAGAATAGTACAGGTGAGAGGTTTTTTAGAGGTTTTTTCAAACCTCTAAAATTCAAGTTTTTACCCTGAATCAAGAAAGGCAATGTCTAATCTCAGCAGTATGAACCAGCATGCTGAAGCTTTTATTTGAGGTGAACCTCTAATGCACAGAGGGATTTAAACCTTTCTTGCTCACACGGGCATCTGTGGGATGTGGCACTGACCATGCCAAAGCCACCCTCCAAAATCCAACAAGCCCTTGCTGAGCCTGGCTGTGTTACAGTGATCCAGAAACAAGAGGTTCCACTGTCTCCCCAAAACATAAACAACTTTGAGGAGATGCAGAGAGGAGCCATCATTTCAGAGGCTGTGCCTCTCCTCCGACTCCCAAAGTGGATTTCTCAGAACTAGATAAGCAGTGACTCCAAGTCCAAAAGCCCCTGCCAAAAGCCTCTGCTCTGGATCACAGCTCTCCAGCACAGAAGAGCCAGCACAGGCAGCTGCAGCATCCAGCTCAGCTCCAAGCCTCACCTTGCGTTTTGTCTCTTCAAACAGACTCATGAGGCTCTCCTTGGCCGTGAGGATGGGGTTGCTAGCAGCCAGACTGCGCATGTAGTAATAGACGGCATCCAGTTTTCTCCTCTGCAAAGACACAACCAGAATCTGTCCTTATTCTGGAGCATTTAGGCCAAGTCTCCACACACTTCACCTTCCCTCTCCTTTAATACATTTGCCTGGGACATTCAGAGCAAGAGCAGCTCTATGGACAGGCAGGGCCCTGGACTCTCCCCTCAGCTTCCCAACTGCCGACACAGTCAGCAGAGCAGGGGTGTTTTGGCCGGGTTAGGAGCACCCTGCAGATGACACCGCAGCCTCCACACTTGCTTGCCCTGGCCTCACACTAACAACACAGTCCATGAGCAAACATCATGGCAAAGTGGGACAGTAAAACAGACTGAACTGAGGATGCTTTGGGGCTTTTCAACTCTTTTCAACGGCGCTATGAATAAGAAATGACTCCTTCAAATTTTACAAAAAGCAGAGGTCCAGGAAGACTGAAGACCTTGCCAGACTCCTGCCACTGGCAGTGCAGGATGCTGTCCTCACCACACCCTGTCACTGGGCTTAATCCCCTCACACTGGAGCAACCTCTCTGCATTTTCTCTCCCACAGGCTGCCTGCAGACACCATCCTGATAAGGCACCTCCTTCTCCTGGCAAGCTGCTGGCCCTCTGGGCTGCCACAACAGCCCCAATAGCCTTCAGAACAGTCCCCAAACTTCTCAGAGATACACAGTACTCCAGCAGGTAACAAAGCTGCCAGCAGCTGCAATAGCTGCAATCAGCAGAGCCCACCCTGCCAACAGCTTTTTCTTTATTTCTTTTCTTCTCCTTTCCCTGCAATTAAATCATCTTCAAGCGTTGCCAGAAGCAGTGTTTTTCTCCATCAGCCGGACTCCCCAAACAGTCTTCGGGGCTCTCCCCACCCTGGCTGCATCCCGGCGTCACGAGTCGCTTACCGTGTAGATGGCCAGCAGGGCCAGCTGGTTGTAGGGTCGGCCGTTCTTGGGAGCAATTTGCTGAGCCTTCAGGTACCAGCTGAGGAAGGGAGGAAGCAGCAGGAGTTACTGAAAGGCCATCAACCCACCCCGGCCACTGTATGGGTACAGGATTCCCCCCACAGCACGGGCAGCCCTGTAGCGACCAGGCACAAGTGCCCTCTGCCTGTGAGAGAGTGCAGTGCCCATGCCAGGCCCCTGCGACACAGTGTCAAGACAAGGAAAACTGGCAGATGCATCTGGACAAAGAACTTGTCTTGACTCAGCCTAAAGACAAACATTTAGCCAGAGCCAGCAACCATTGTCCCCAGAGCAGCCTAGGAACACAGGACAGACTAATCAGGGAACATTTGTCTCCCCATCTGCTTTTTAACTCCATGGCAGCTGGGACCAAACCTTCTCGGTTGTTTATCTCATTCCCAATATTTGCAGGATACTAATTCACCCTAAGGGAAGGGATGTCAGTTCAGGGGCAGTCCATTCATGCCTCTGCTTCCCTCCCTCCCTCCCTCTTTTCCCTCAGTCTTACTTTCCAGCTTACACTGTGTCACACGTATCTATTGACCCTGTTCAGACAGACCAAGTTCTCTCCAGAACCTGGAATCACCACCATACTCCACGATGTCTGCAGGCCCCAAATTCAGCAGCTCTGCCTGCTCTGCTCTCCAAGTCTCCAGACCTCAGGGCTCCATGTCCCACACTAGGCTCCTTCCTCCCCACTCTTTGCTCCACCTGCTACAGAAACCAACACTCTGCCTGGATTCTAGAAAAAAAAAGGACTATACAAAATAAGAGTGAAAGAACAAATGCCCCAAATTCCTAAGGCTGTCAGAATGTGGGCAGATGGACATGGAATCCTCTCCTCACTGAGAAGCTACCATACAGTACCAAGTCCCACAGCTAGTCTGCCACAGCATCAGCACGGGACCACGTATGGGGATGGAGGAAGACTGCAATTGCTGACTTGCTTTCTGGGACAGACAGCTACACATCCACATCCTACAACCTCACATGACCAGGACAAAATAAAAGGGCATGGAAACACTCCTTTAGGAAGAGGCAAGTCGAAACCTGCAAGGAGCTGCATCCCTGCAGGGAAGCAGAGGAGCAGCCGTGCCCGGGGCCACGGCGAGCAGTACAGTACCTGCGTGCTTTCCCGTAGTTGGCCGTGTCGTTCGCTTGCTCTCTGTAGCGGCAAATGTCCCCCTGACAAATCATGCACCTCTGGGCACTGATGAGCGCGTACTTCACCTGGGCAAAACCAGAAACATTCAGCACACATCTCACGGACAGGAGAACTTGGTAGCTCATTCAGCCCATGAGCTCTCTGAAAGTGACAGCTGAGGCAGGGATACATCTAGCTTGGAACGGAGCTGGACTAAAATACCCTTTCCCAGCTGTCCCTCACACTGCAATGGCAACTTGGGCAATAAACTGTCAAGCACCGTGGAGACAGCACAACTGTTTGCTTTCCTTGTTTGCTGTTCTGCATTCTAAGGACAGAAATAGATGTTCAATACCAAGGCTAAAAACGGGGTACCTTTCATAGAATCATAGAATCATAGAATGCCGAAGGTTGGAAGGGACCTCAGAGGTCATCGAGTCCAACCCCCCTGCTCACGCAGGGTCACCTAGAGCACGTGGCACAGGGCTGCATCCAAGCGGGTTTTAAAGATCTCCAAAGAAGGAGACTCCACAACCTCTCTGGGCAGCCTGTTCCAGTGCTTTGTCACCCTCACAGTGAAGAAATGCTTCCTTAAGTTCCTGTGGAACTTCCGATGCTTCAGTTTGAAGCCATTTCCTCTAGTCCTATCCCTGCCCACCACTGAAAAGAGGCTGCCCCCCTCCTCCTCACTGCCTCCCTTGAGGTATTTATACACGCTGATCAGGTCCCCCCTCAGCCTCCTCTTCTCCAGGCTGAACAGGCCCAGCTCTCTCAGCCTTTGTTCATATGGTAGATGTTCCAGGCCCCTGATCATCCTGGTAGCCCTGCGCTGGACTCTCTCCAGCAGCTCCACATCCCTCTTGTACTGGGGAGCCCAGAACTGGACGCAGTACTCCAGATGTGGCCTCACCAGGGCTGAGTAGAGGGGGATGATCACTTCCCTCGACCTGCTGGAGACGCTTTTCTTAATGCACCCCAGGATCCCGTTGGCCTTCTTGGCCACCAGGGCACACTGCTGCCTCATGGTCAACTTGTCGTCCACCATGACACCCAGGTCCCTCTCTGCGGGGCTGCTCTCCAGCAGGTCCACCCCTAATCTGTACTGGTGTCCAGGGTTATTCCTCCCCAAGTGCAGGACCTTGCACTTGCCCTTGTTGAACCTCATGAGGTTTCTCGCCGCCCAGTCCTCCAGTCTGTCCAGGTCCCTCTGGATGGCAGCACAGCCCTCAGGGCTATCAGCTACTCCACCCAGTTTGGTATCGTCGGCAAACTTGCTGAGGGAGCACTCCAGCCCTTCATCCAGGTCATTAATGAATAAGTTGAACAGGACCGGACCGAGAACTGATCCCTGGGGGACACCACTAAGTACAGGCCTCCAGCTGGACTCCACACCATTGACAACCACTCTCTGCACCCTGCCATCGAGCCAATTCCTAATCCACCTCCCCGTCCACTCATCTATCCCACACCTTCGGAGCTTGCCCAGGAGGATGCTGTGAGGGACAGTGTCAAAAGCCTTGCTCAAATCCAGATAGACCACATCTACTGCTCTGCCCTCATCTATCCAGCTAGATATTCCTTCGTAGAAGGTGATCAGGTTAGTCAAGCAGGATTTCCCCTTGGTGAATCCATGCTGGCTACTCCTGAGCACCTTCTTCTCCTCCATGTGTCTGGAGAGAGCAGCCAGGATGAGCTGCTCCAACACTTCCTTCTCTTTGCTAGCCCTGGTCACAGGAAGCAGGTAAGGAGCCCAGGGGACAGAATTGATGCATGAAAAGACTCCTTGAAAAGGCCAAGAAATATTAATGCACGGGGACAGTTAATGTCTCTAACAGAGAATTAATGTCTCTAACTGAGAGGTTCCCCTGCAGACATATGGGTATCTGCTTGGAGCACAGCTGCCCACTGCTCGGCTGGGACAGCACACTGGTGGTGAGTTTAGTGCAAAGAGCAGGATGAGATGCCTTCAGGAAGAAGCCAACCTACCATTTTTCGCAGGGGTTTAGTGCGGAGGACCATGCCATCCATGTAGTCCTCCACCTTGAACTGGTATGACACCTGCAGCTTCTGCAGCAGGCCATCGAAAAAAGATGTGCCCTGCAAAACACCCACACATTTGGCTGTTAGGATATTTCTGGTAAGAGCAGTATCACCATTCCATCCCTGCTACATGCAAGGGGGGAAAAAAAAAAAAAAAAAAAAAAAGGTACTTCTCCCTGAGTTTTGGGCTGTGTTCCGTCAGAAAAAAGGCAAAGAGGTCAGGGGATCTCTGTCCTTGGAGGTTTCCACAACTTAGCTAAATTAAGTCAAAATAGACCCAATACAGGGTTAGCCACAGTCCTATGTGAATCAGAAGATTAGTCTAAAGCCCTCCAACGTAACTTTGTGGAACATTTCCTTTTAGATCTTTTGGCCTACGTATTGCAAACAAGCAGCTGAGACGCACAGGTCAGCGGAACAATTTTGAAGTAAATTTGATAATGGTGGCACAAACACCTCCATATTTATTTCCACTCTAGGAAGTTCATTTCATTTTAGCTTAAACTAATTTCTTATCAACATAGAACAAACTAAAGGAGCCTGGTTTACACAGCAACAAATATCCACCTGGACCTAGGCTTGGAACACTAACCATATTCACAGAATCACAGAACGGTTGAGCCTGGAAGGACCTCTGGAGATCATCTAGTCCAACCCCCCTGCTCAAAGAGGGACATCAAGAGCATCCTTCTCTTGGCATAAGGCACATAGATATGTGGAAGATCGCAGCGAGCTGGTCACCCAGCTCTGTCAGCACAAGACAAACCCACCCAAAGGTCTAAGAGGGTTTGGAGACACATTTCTCTTCATACCTCATCCAGAAGCTGGAGCAGTTTGTTACGGATTTCTTGCCCATTTTCCCCCAGCGGGTCCTTGAGCAGCTGCCGGAACTTCTCGATCACCTGGTAGAAGGCGTTTTTCCACAGCAGCTGGTCCACGTTCTGGGTATCGGAGAACTCGATATCCATCAGGAGGCACCGTTCGTACAACTGCAGCATCTCCACCCTAGAGCGAAACGCAGTCAGCACAACAGCAACGGCCCGGCCCCGGCGCGAGCTGCCAGGGAACACGTGCTGAGGCACCTGCAGCTTCTCCTCCAGCAAACACGAGACACCACGTCGCCCAGCCCATGCTCTTATAGCAAACTGATGCTCCAACATGCATCCTAGAGAGACAGAGATGGAGGCTATGGCAAACAGACACCCCTCCTGACCAGGAAAGTAAATGTGAAAGGAGCATCTCCCTTTTCTGGGAGTTCCTCTGGCAAAGAGCAAGGAGATCCTGCTCTGCCACCGGGAACATCAGGGCACAGATGTCTCTAGACTCCAACACAAGAGAGCAAACTGCCAAAACAACCTGATCTGCTTCTGCTTGAGCCCCGACCCTGCTCCTCCTGAGCCCAAAGTTGCTAAGGGCAGGAATGAGCACCAGAGAATGCAGAGAGCAGGAGAGGTCCTGCCTTTGAAACAAAACCCACCTCCCTTCTGCTCAGCTAATAACCAAAACTGAGAGCTTTCTCTGGCAAAAACGGGCCAACTCTTTTACTTTCCAAAGATGACCAAAGGCCAAGAATGTTACACCTGAAGCATATAAAGTCTCAAAGTAGAAGAAATCACATTCCCTTGGCCAGCAACCTACAGCCTTGCCCAGAGAGCAGAGCAAAATTCCTGCGCCGAGCCAGGCAGGCCAGAAATTGGGCTCAGCACTGGGGACAGTTGTGACAAGGGGATCCTCTGCGGTTACTGCTCTGGCAGCCAGTCCCCTGAAACACTTTGGATATCAGAGAGGACATTAACAGTAGAACAAAGTAAAGGGTCTAAACCCAAGCCAGGCTGCAGTGTCTATGCAGGGCCACCAAACATGAAAGAAGCCCTGCACTCAGTTCCTCTGCTAGCCTGGCTGCCAGTCAGCTCCCAAAATACATCTCTGAGGAGGCTTGGAGACACAGAGGTCATAAGATGCCAAGTAGAAACTGCTGCTACAGCTACCTGCCCTCCAGGGCACCAGTGTCACCTCCTGCCTGCTGGCTGGCATCACCAGGCTACTCTGAGACCGTGCCAGACCTGAACAGCATCAAGGATAAATCTTATAAACGCTGGTGCTGTTACCACCACAGAGCCCTGGGAACATAGGACGCTGCGCGAGCCGGCAACTCCAGGCTCCAAAGGTCACAACACAAATGAAAAAGCAGATAACCAGGGAATGGGAAAGAACTCTGCTGGAGCACACGGAAAGGACACGGGAGCACTGAAGCCACAGGGACCAGCCCCAGGAAGCTGGAGCTCTGGGCACGTGTCCTGCTCCCCGGAGCCCCTGATCGCCAGGATCAAGTGTCCCTGATGCCACAGGCACAAGCAGCCCCAGCTCAGCTCCCAGCCCAGCCGAACGGCATCTTCACCTGGAGTTTTCTTCTGACACTCGCCCACCTTGGGCACATGACAAGCACAGGCTGCAGCACATCAAAAGCTGAGCAGCCACCACCGTCCCATCGCTCAGAGACACAACAGCCTCGGTCTGCCAGGTCTCCAGGAAGACCTCGCACTCCGGATAACGCTCCTGCAGGAGTCCACCCTGGGAATGAGCCTGTCACCCCCCACCTCTGCTACAAACCTCAGCTGGGCCATCTTCTCCAGCCCCTCGGGGCTGATGCGGTCCCGGGAAAGCAGGTTGCTGAGCTGCTGCTCCTGGTTGGCAGCCTCGCGGAGGAGTTTGCTGAGCTCCTGCTGCTGCATGTTCCGCATCTGCTGCTCCATCTCAGCACTCAGGGGAGCCGGAGGGAGCGGGCTGCAGATGAACTGCCCGGCCTGGCTGGGATAGCCAGGGTAGTAGGCTCCCGGGTACACCCCATTGCTTGGGCCCATGGGATACTGCAGGGAGTACCCGCCGTAAGGATACTGGGGGCCTTGGCCGGCGGCCCGGGGGTAATAGTAGGGGTTGTCAGAGTTTTGGAACTTATAGTAGGATGTCTGGGCCTGGCGGGCCTCCCCCCACGACGTGGGGCTCACTTCATCGTCCGTGTCCAGGAAGTGGAGCTGCGCGCTGGGGCTCTTGAGCGCCGGCTTCTGCTCCGGGTTGTTGGGGTCCCAGAGCCTGCGGGCAGCGCCGCCGCGGCCCCGGCTCCGGGGCCCTTTTCCCCCAGCACCGGCAAGCAGGAGCCGGGGGCCCGGGTGAGCAGTGTCGGGGGAGCCGGCGGCGCTCGCTGAGAGGTCCGTGTTGGCCGGCAGGAACAGAATCCCCCGGCCCCGGCCTTGCGGCTCTCTGCTCTGGCCTCTCGCTTCCAAAGTCTCCGAGTCCTTACAACTAACAAACGCCTTCTGGGGCTTTTTTTTCTCCATTTCCGACAGGCCCGTGTCTCTGTTTACAGCCTTGTTGTCGAAGGTGACACGAAAGGCTCCCTTGGCTTCCCTGCCGTTGCTGCTCCACTCGCTCTCGCTCCTAGAGCCCCAACTCTGCTCCGAGCGCTTCTTCCTCTCCGAATTCCTGCTAGAGCCGTAGGCCTCTGCCTCGTCGAGCCTGTCGTCGTCCAGGGAGTCGGTGGAGGAGGCGGAGAGCTGCTTCCTGGCGCGCGCCCGCTCCCTGGCGCACTCCTGCCGCCGCTCCACGCCGTCCACGAGCGGGGCTCCGTCCGCGCTGTTGTTGCTGCCCGCGGAGCTCGTGCTGCACGTGCGGTAGCGGCTCCGGCGCTTGTCGGAGCGCGAGTAGCGCTTCGTAGAGCTCAGCTTGCCCTGCAGCAGCTCCTCGCTCGCTCTCCTCATCCTGTCGCTTCGGTCCATCCGTCTTCCTTTCTCTCCCTTTACAGCTTTCACTCCTTCCCCTGTCAGGCTTCCCTCTCTATCCCCTCTGCTTGATTTGCTTCTCCTGATGTTGTCTTTTCCAGCTGCTTTCTCAGTCTCTTCATCTCCCTCAACTTTCAGCTGCTGCATCTTAGTGACAATGTCTTCATTAGCCGGCTGGAGGGCCGATTCTTTGGCAAGTGAATGCAGGCGTTTCCCAGGCTGGTAGATCTGCTGGTCTGGCTTCTTGGTTCTCCGGATGGCCTTGGGACACCACTCACCCGGAGCAGGCTCCTTGCAGGGGGTCTCCTGCCTTAGGAGGCCGCCTTTGGTCTCCGTCTCTTCATCCACCTGCAATGGGCCGTTCTGTTTGTGGACATCACCTTTGCTGAAATCCTCCATGACTGGAGTTGCTGCAGAAGGATCTCGGTTGCCGGAGCTTTCCTTGCCTTCCTCAGCCCTGCTCCTCTCCCTCTCGGAGGCCTCGGGCTTTGGCAGCGGGAGCTTGCTCCGCAGGCGCGAGAGGCCAGGCTTGTAAATCTCCAGGTCCGGGCGCCTGTTGTCTTTGCGGTGTCTTGGCTCCTTCACCTCTTTCACGTTGTCTGAGGAAAGAGAGAGATGAGAGCTATTCCCAGCACAGACCAGCCAAGGCAGAAAGAGATGGAGACAAGTCATCTAGGAAAAACACCAAGGCAAAGGGCTTAACGCGCTTATGACAAGCCCAAGAGGACAGAACCGCAGCTCTTTGTCAGAGCACTCCAGGAAATCACAGACAAAGCGCAGACGTGACCGAGCGGCCCAGACCCTTGGCCTGACTCCCTCAGGAGGCTTCAAGGCCCTGATCTTGTCTTAAAGAACACGCAGGCTAAGGCAGGAGCGGATGGAGCGAGAGCGGGGGGCCGGGCGCGCGCGGGGGGCTCCAAGGCCGCCGCTCTCCTGCCCTCGGCCGCGGCTCCCGCCGGCCCGTCGCTCACGCGGGGACCGCTCCGCGGCAGCGGCCGCTGTTCTGCCCCCGCAGCCCCCCGCCGCCAACAGCCCCGTCCCAACCGGGCGTTACGGAGGGGAGAAGTTCTCCAGGCGCCTCTGTGAGGGCTTTAGCACCCAAAGCGGGGCCGGGAGCACGCGCTGGGGGTGGCAGAGGCCGCAAGCGCCCGAGCGGGGCCCGCGGTCACCCCGGCCCCCCGCGGCCCCCGGACCTCTGGGCGGCGCGAGCGGCGGCCCCGGGAGCGCGGGCCGGGCCGGGCGCCTTTGTGCGCCGCGAACGCGCCCACACCCGTGGCCGTGGCGACGCGCCGGGGCCGCCCCCCGCCCAGGGCACCGAGCCCCGCGCGGGCTCCGCGGGGCC